ATATGTTTGCTGATGATCTAACAATTATGATGGAGGCTTTGTCAGCCAATATGAAAGAGATAAAAACTCTTATGGATAAATTTTCCTTAATACCAAATATGGCTGTTAACTGAGGGAGTAAAACGCAAGGTTGGTGAATTTACTCTAATGGAGACAGACCCCCAGAAATCCCAAGAGTGAAATGACTTTCACTTTAGACCTCAATCAAAGTATTAGGGATAATGCTCATAACATAAGGAAACCCTATTACTAATGATGTATGAATATCTACTCGGGCATTGGAAAAAATGAAGCAATGGAAGCATCAACATACATCCTTGTTTGGAACGACTTTTTCAATCAATATTATGGTATTGGCATCTATATGGTATAAGTCAGCAAATGGTCTTTAGGTAAGGGACCTGTTAAGAGTCTTACAAAACAGATAACAACCTTTCTTTGAAAAGGAGACCATCAGTCCCAAGGCCATGAGATCCACCATCTTGCGACTGCTACTTAGTGTTTTTATTTGCTCAAGTCATATGCACTATTTTCTAGTGTCTTGGGTGAGCTAAGATCCTTTTTCTTTTGGCTTAGGTACCCCCATTCAGTCCGTTATTTCTCGGACTGCCATAATGACATTTTTCCTAGCCTCATGACCCACAACATGCCTTAAACTGAAACCAAGTGCAACGGTCAACTCCCAAGTGCATCCGGACTCAATATTGGTTCCGGGTAGATTTAAAGCATGTGTTTCTCCTCCCGGTACCTCCCCCATGCAATCCGTTGTATCTCGGTTGCATGGGGCCTTCTTTGCAAAATCAAAAGAAAATCAAGATACGTTGCAACCGCCATATCCTAGGGTGTATTTGGTCACAGATGCATCTCCCCAAGTGATCGTTTTTTACCGTTAATTTTTTTTTTTTTTTTTTTTCATATTTAGACTGTAAAAACCTGCCAATCCCTACTTGTGTCAGTCCCTACTGACGGCCAACTCACTCACTCACTCTCACTCCTTTTGTCTTATTCTCTCACCTTTTTCTTTTATTTTTTGTTTCTTTTTCTAGCATGTGAAGTGTCAACAAGCCGTTAAGGTTTTTTCTAGGCCCTTCCGCTTAGTTTTGGCCCTTCCTATGCCCAATGTGCAGTCCGTTATTTCTCAGACTGCAATTGAGGCTCCCCCATGCCTATGGAAGCCTCCTTTTGCCTCCCTTTCTTCCAAATTGTGGACCCCTTTGCTCCGATTTTCTCCCGGGAGCCTATTTTTTACATGGAGCCTCCTTAGGCTCTATTTTCCTCCACGTGGCTAGTTCATGATATTTTGGATTGCTGTCGTGCCTCTTCCCTTGCTTTCTTTTGTTTTATTTTCTCCTTTGGCCCTCTCGTTTGGCTCCACTAGTGTTTGCACTAGTGGTGCTAATATTCTTGGTCGTTTAGATCTTGATCTTGGCGGGACTACTTGCCTTGGGCATGTTTTTTTCATGGGCCTTCACAACTTTACCTTGGGACATCAGAAGTCCCCACCACTTCCGCACTAGTCTCCGACACTTGTCCAGCCGGAGGTCCCGCCGACACTCGGCCCCAAAATGCCATTATCTTTACTTAGTCCTATATGGTCCCGACATTTTTCCTTGCGGTCTCCCGGTCTCCCGGTCTCTCTTGGCGATTTCCACCCCATGGTTGCTCCCCTTCCTAGTCTCAGTCTATGTCCCACCCGTGCCGGTTTCTCCGGCCTTGTGACGCACAACCTCACGTCTAGCGCGACTTCCTATTTCGGAGTGTTAGTGGGCCTGCAAGTGTGAATAGGGGTGTGCGAAGGATTTTAGGAAAGTGGGGAAGGAGTCCCAGGTCGGAACTGAAATCTCCGGCGTCAAGTTTCAGGGGTAGGAGTGCAAGAGTCTCGTTTTTGTTCAGAATCGGGGCGATCGCCGATCTCTCGACCTAAGTCGGGGACGTATCTGATGTATAGGCGGAACGCTATGAGTATCTCTCTGAGAGCACATGTACCGCCGTCGGCCAATGCATGTATCAGAGTCTCATTAGGACGGTCGTAGTCGGAGACTGTGTTCCCGAAGCTTTGCTTCGGAGTGGGTTCGTCGGATGTAACAAGCTATGGAGTCCCACAGAACAACCGTTAGGTGATGATACGGGAGAAGGATATAATAGGGAGGAAAACGGGTAGTAATTGTGACGAAGACAGGGGTTAGATAATACTGTCTATTGTGGGTGTCGGGATAGTCTGAAATCCGAGAATCCTTATTTATGGCCCACAGGAAATCGCCCCCACACAGGCGATCGTTCTCAGTCTGACAGGGGTAGTCAGGATTCTATTACTTTCGTCGTCGCCTAAGTTGTTCCCTCTCCCAATACATTCGATACTCTGAGTTCCTTAGGCTCTTGCGGTCGGTGACCTAAAACGGAGTTTCCACCGCCATTATGCGTCATATCCTACTCAATGGACAGTAATTACATTCATTTCCTGACGAAGCGATATCAAAACAGGGCTTATGCAGACGCGCGTGTATGTTGCAGACACCGCTGCCGGACTTGTTGTCATACACGGACGCTTGCACAGGTAGACTGCTCAGATCCTATCTTGTCCTACGGATAAGCCGGTGGTAGTCGCTTTTGTCTGTGTGTCAGTATATCCCGTATCATCCGTATGCATGCAATTATCCTTCTCATGCAACCATCATCATTCCAAGTGAGATCCAACAATACATACGTGTCCATACCATCATGCAACAAAGAAGCGATTGTCCAGCATTAAGGACCAATACATCAGATCATTCCTGTAATTATGCATGAACTAAGAGCAATCGGTCAGGCAAGGCATGCGCAGTGGGTATATCCGACCCGATCCGGGCCGATCCGGGGGAACCGAAACCTCTCGGATCATTGTGCACGCAACATAGATGGCTTAACAAAACAAAATTAGAAATCGGAAACAACTCGGGAAAGGAGACATGAGTTCGTTCATCAGCATGCATACATACATACAAAACAGAAAATCCGAGATGATTGACAAAAAAATCCGAAACTGCCGCAACAAAGTTGGCCAATGTTGGAGTCAAAGTTTCACAGAAGGTGGGAAGAAAGGCATTGTTCCACCATATCCCCATTCCTCTCTCTCTCTCTCTCTCTCTCTCTCTCTCTCTCTCTCTCTCTCTCTCTCTCTCTCTCTCTCTCTCTCTCTCTACACCTTTCTGGTGTGGGCAGTCCGTCGCCCCGCACCTCCAAACCATACAGAGTCGTCACCTCGCTTGGCCCGAGCATGCAGGCCAGACTCGCCCACGTGCCACAGTCCTTCGCGACCACACGTCATCCCCGCATACCCAGCACCAGCTCGTCGGGTTGCCCGACTCTCTACTCACCGTCTTTCTGCTCGTTAGCAGATCCTCTCGACCGCGCTAACTCCCAAGTAGATTAGAGAGTCAATTAATCTCGCTTGCAGAATTTATAGCTTATGCATCCGCGCGCAATAACTGGGATTGCCAAATAGGAATAGGAGAAAAGAAGGAGGCAGTGCCTACGACTGCATGGCTGGGCCCCGGCGTGGGGAACATAGCCTCACTCCACGCTTCGATCCAGTCATGCACCGATCTGGCCAATGAGATAAAGAAGGGAGAGCGCAGACAGCAACCCAGGAAAGAATATAAAAAAATGAGAGATTACAATTACATCTGTGTAGGCAAAGAAAGAGCAAGAAGAGATTACAGTTGAGATTGGAATTTAGGCGCGGCGGAAACAGAGCGCATACCCAGGCGCAGCAAAGGAAGCGATGTGCAGTTACATGCAAAAATTACGAGACACCCAATTTCCTAGTCTAATTAAGATCCTAATTGCAAAAAGGACTTTCGAGAACCCGTGCAGGCTCATCCCCAATTCAAAAATCCCGAAGGAATTCCCTGCGCGAGTGCTGCGCCAAAAAGATGGACTTCTGTCAAAAAAGAAAGAAAAGAAAGAAAAGAAAGAAAAAGGACATATCAGACATTGTTCCCCGGTGCTCACTAAGGCGCGAGCCAACTTCCCCGAAGTTCCTAACCACCGCCTCCCTTCTGTCGAGGGACCAAGAACAAAACCAAGAACGAGGGACTGCCATGCAATTTATCCCCGACCCCCTCCATGTACCCCCAATCCCAGTTGCACAGAAGATGACGCTTATCAGAAAAGAGCTCGTCGCATATGTGACGCCCAGGGCGGTCCATCCTGTGCAAGCTCCCGCTTGCACACATATCTCCCCGAAGCCGGGAAGAAGAAAGAAGAAGAACTCGTCATTTCGCAGCGATGACATGTGTCATTGCTGTAGGATAAGAGTATGGAAGTCATCCTGTGGACATGTCGTGATTCTCATACCCACTTTTAATGTCCCGAGGGAGGAGGGAAAGAAAGTCTGAATACAAAGGCGGGGGGTGGGGGATGTTCACTTGGAAGTGCGGGCAAGTTCGCCATCCCTGCTACCGTCCCGGGAAGCTCAAGGTATCTGATGGTGCAGTGTATGTGAGGGAAGCGATGACTGCCATGAGGGAGAGAAGCAATGTAATCGGGATAGAGAGTTGAAAAGGTGCGAAACAAGGCCGCGCGGAATTGCTCGTGATCTGCGCAAACGGGAATAGTTCCAGTGATCGCGCAGTAGATCTCGATCACGTTATAACCCCTCCACGTGGCGCTGAAAAGGAGGACGTGAAGGCAAAAGGATAGGGAGACACACTGGGTAGTGGGATGCGGGTACACTACGACGACAAGGCGAGTAGCGTAGAATTGGTAGAAGAGAGAAGATGGGAAGGAATTTTGGGGGAATGAGAGCGGGGTGTCGAACTGCTGGAGTGTGAGGTAATCAAGGGGACGGCGAGATAATAACCGGGGACGTAGCCCGATGTCCCGCATCGACACGTGCTTGAACTGAGGGATGGGGGGAAGGGGAGGGGGAGCGGGTCCGTTGCCTCCGTGTCGGCGCGCTCGAAGTCTCTGCAGCACGACACTCATCTTCTTCCGCTGGCGGCTCCAGATCTCGAGTCAGGTCGTCTGGAATTGGCAGATCGGTTCCCACTAACTGCTCCAATGGCCGCTTTCCCTCGGCTATTTCTGCCCTCCGTCACTCCGCTTCCGCATGGTCTTCTCTTTGCGTCTCCGCCTGTCCCACCTCTTCCCCCTCACTTGCTCCCTCCGCTTCTTCTTCTTCTTCTTCTTCTTCTTCTTCTTCTTCTTCTTCTTCTTCTTCTTCTTCTTCGCTTATCGCCCCCGACTCGTGCTCACTATGCTCGCTATAATATTTGTCCTTCCCGGGGGTATCTTCTGATTCGTCCTCCTCCTCCTCGTCTTTTTCCTTTTCGTCTTCTTCCTCTTCGTCTTCCGACGTCGGCTCGCCCCGATCAAAAAAGAGAATATCGATTATCTCCGCGGGGTTCAGGTAATTACCGTACGACGGGTAATTACGGTTGTCCCAATTGCCTTCCAAGCACGCCGACCAATGTAGGTACGACGTCAAGCTGCGCGAAAGAATATGCGGCGCCGGACTCTCGTCGTAGTGTGAGACGATGTCGATCGGTAGATCGTCCAACAACTGAGTTAGAAGGATTAAAAGCTCTCCTACGATCGACTGCCAATGTGCCACCTCCACCGTTCCGAAAATGAATCCTAACAAATCTCCCTCTACCTCCATCCTCCAAGCTTGAATGGTGAACAATTTCACGTCTTCGATCACGTCGTTATGCTCGCTGTCCCGGGTCGACTTCAGTTCGATCTCAACTAAGCATAGAGAAAGAGTCGCATAGGTTCGCGACCACCTCTGCCACTGTACGGGCTTGATAAGAGGAACTGTCAATGGCCGCACGCAAAAAGAGAGACGGGGATGGAGCGCCGACTTCCAGAAGACAGGGAAGACAGAGAGGAGGCTGAAGGTAGAGAACCTGTGATGGTTCATTAAGGACGCGAGAAAGCGACGAGCGCAGGGAGAGGTACTGCGAGATTTTTTCGGAGAGCACGGATGTCGTCCAGGTCAATACTATTAGTATTGACGATGTTTTTCCCCCACCGCGCAAGCAGCTCACTCCAGGATTTTGCCAACTCCTCTCCTCAATCTCGCAACGAGACGAGGATGCCCGGATGCGCCCTCAGATCCACGGTAGTGATGTCTCCGCTGAAGGAGACAATTGTCGAAATGTGGTTGGTTCCTGGCGCCGAGAGTTGCAGATAGGCTGATGCTTGGGCCAGTTCCTGCGCGGCTGCGCCTTGCTGTTGGGTATCACGAATCAGAACTCTGCTGCCGCATGCACACTCGCCGTGCTGAAAAAATGAGCAAATCTGATGACGTCCGGACTGATATGCGGATGATGAACCTGCCTGATCACCGAGATGTGCCCGCGTGGTGCTAGCATCCGCTCACTGAGTACTTGCTCCGTGGAAAAACTCGTGGCGAAGAGGTGGGAGAAGATGAGTGGGGCGAAGAAAGAAAATGTGGATTGTCACTTTCCCCCTCGGGCTTAGATTTCGAAGGCGAATCAGTTGGAGAGGGAGGGTAGGAAGCAGGGAGATGGCCAAGATAGGATACGTGGCAGACTATGGGTCTAGCAGATCGGCTACCTAACACTTCGGGAGCGAGGTTCAGAGTGTTCACACCGTTCGGCCCGAGCTCGATTACTCGAAAGCACCCGAAGAATCGTGGCGCTAGTTTCCCTTGACAAGCATATTTCCTCACCTGCACCAAGTCCCCCAATTTATACTGGGGTCAGGGACCTACATTCCCTTTTCGGGCCTCATAACTACGGACTTGGCGGTCGTGGGCCAATTCAGTCATTCTCTGCCTTTTTTGGGCCAATCTCGGAAGGGTCTGTCCCATCAGTTTTAAATGGCGTCTGACTTTTTCCTTGGCTATCGCTCTCGTCGGACGTCGGCCGAGTGTTGTTTCACCATTTAGGTTCGGTATCGCGACGCAGGCTAGTTGGTTCGTAGTTGAAATGGCAAAAGTCCCGTAGACTCATGCAGGGTCCCTCGATGTATGGCCAGGATATTATCCACGATATCAGGCCACTGCCGCGTGTCCTTAGCGGCGATATTCTGTCGGAGTGCCATTTTAATTACTCGGTTGGCGT